TAAAAAGCAGCAAGTTTACCCTACTTGGTCATGTTTTTAAAAGCTGTTCTCTCTTGGTTCATAACCCAATTACCAATGTTGAAAGTTCTCTTAAAATAATAGCAGCTTCTTTTCAAACTCATAATACAGTGAGTACCTGATTCATAATTGTTGTTACTTGATCCCTCCATGCATGTATACATATGCACACTCACACCCAGCAACACACTTTTTGTAGCATTCGTTTTAGACCTGTTTAAATTCCAACAGGAGAATTACAGTGTACTTCTGTGTAGGGTCCATGAGATGTTTAGACAGGCAGATGCGTGCATGTCGCAGCTGAAAAATGTTCTTCCATAGTTCTACAGGACAGTTGGATGTACATGTATTTATACTGTTCTGTTTAATGTGACAGTGAGGGTTTGACTTTTGAAAAAACACGATGTATCTTAATTCATGCAGTGGACATGTATGAAAGAATGTCACCAAACAAATGGCAGAAGGTATTGTACAAGGACCAAGGGGTGCCAGACAACTACGTGGATGAATCTTTTCTTAGAGAACTGAAGAACAAAGGTGAGGCAGTGACCAATGTTAGGCTTGATTTAATCAGGATTTCAGATTTAGCTGTTTTCTGGCAATGGCTTCCCTTTTGGCTGACACCAGTATAGGTGACATTTGCAAATTGAAGGTTGATGCACATTCAAAGGAAAACATGAAAACTAGATGAGCTAGCATCCGGGCCTTCATTACTTGTCATGCTGACCATACCATGGGAGCCAGGCAGGCAGGCAACAAACTTGCATACTGTATATTCAAATCCAATATTGATTACGTTGGTGATAGTCAGAAGCCAATATCAAAGTCAGTGCCTATTAAGATCAATCAGTTACAATAAATTTGAGTAGGACACAAAGCAAAACAATTCGCTAAAGGAAATATGCCATAGACAGAAATCCCACAAGTAAGATGTCCTTCCATGATCACTATACTGCACTAGACCCTGAAGGTCATAATTGAAAAGTGATGTACGGTACATGTACTTCTTAGTTCTTTATAATCTTCAGACTTTGGCAACAAACACTGAATTAGTAATATCGACAATAATATAATATCAAATCAGTGCTCTGAAATATGTGATTAAGTATGAACAACTAATGTGCCTTTCCTTCTGCTTCTTTTTTGCCTTGCCAGTTACCTTATATGATTTGCCGTATGTGATTGTGGAATCTGGTGTAGTGACTCAGCAAATCAGCAGGTGTGTGTCCGCTCTCATCGGTTGAAAAAAAAGCTGTGCTGGCGGGGAGTGTTCACTTGGTTGGTAGTGACGTACGCAACTTATGCATGTCAGTGGTTGATGAACCACCAAAGTGCAGTGTCCAAAAGAACCAGCGGAGCCTCTGTTGCTCAGAAAATCAGGCCCTCTTGGTCCTGCTTGGTGCCTATAATGCATCAAGGCTTCCATTTAGTGCGGTTGTGGAAACCAGCTAATAGGAATGTGGGAAAAAAGGAAAATTTGTTTTCCTAACTTTTCTGCCAGTAGTAATCTGGTGAAGTTGTTGTGGGTGATAAATACTTGTGTGGGGTGTGAGAACGTCTAATTTCATTGCAGTGTCTTTACATTTAAACTCCAATTTGTTGTAAATTGTTACCTAGTATCTGCCTGTTTGTAGTCTTGTTCATTTATATGGAACAAGAACTACTATTGCCAGTGAATCTCCTGTACATCAATGCTGCTCTTTCCCTGCTTGGATATGCTGCACATGACATTGTTGACGGAGGACAAGATCGCAAGGAAAGCAGCAGATCAAGTGAGTAAAAAAAAAGAAGGCAAATATGAGACTTTTGTCTGAGTACCATATGGAGTCTACACACCCATCAATGGAGAGAGATTAGGGCTGACAAAC